ATGATTAAACACACGTGCTATTTCAACAACCCTAGACCTTGAAGCCCCAGACTCTGAACCCTAAACCAAGCCCAAACTCAATACCTGCATGAAAACCCTCGACTCGAATACCCTAAACCCCAACAGACCTGAACACCCTGAACCCAAAATTCCCTTGCCCTGGAAACCACGTGAAACTCCAGACCCTGAAACCCCAGAATTTAAGCCCTAAACTACAGAAAACCCTGGGACCAAATACTCGAAATGATCTTCTTGCAACCGACCGCGAAGAATGTCGTAGGAGATTGACCACGACATGTGCACAGAGCTCGGCGACCGTTGGATCTGTCAAGCCCCAAAGTTCGAAAGGCAAGAAAGCTGAAGTCTGGACATGAAGCGAGAGAGCACTGCAGAAAACAACATGGTTCGGACGGCATCGAAAAAGCACCGGCAAGGGCAAGCCACATGCAACCACAAGCATGCGCACCAAAACAACGCAAGGAAAGGTGACTGTGAAAGCAGTGCAACCCCACATACCCGCCCACAAACAAGGATCAGAGTGCAAACGCTGGAAACGAGACGAAGGACCGACACCATCAAAGATCGGAAGTGCGATTTGGCAAAGCCGCAGACGAACGCTCCAAATGCTCTGTAAGTGCCCGCAGCTTGCCTACATAGAGTCAAATGTGGTTCCTAACGCCCATTAGGACAACACCCCGCTTTCAGCGCCAACTTCCGAAAACCGCATGTCTGGGCACTGGACTACACAACTACTGCAACTCATCCAAGAGCATGCTCCCCCTTCAAGAGACTAGGCTTATGAGATGATCCGGACAGGATGACTTGTGGCTACAGTGGCTTAAGACGGCGAAAACCATTGTAACTATATTATCATCGTTGTGACATTTTGCGGCTTGTTTGCGAATTTTTTGCAAAGACATGTACGGATCTCTGTGCATGCAGACTTTTGCGATGCGAAGTTTGCGGACTTGTTGCATGTTGTCGGACTGTTGCATTGTTGCAGATATGTTGCATTCTGCTGCATTCCGCGAATGCCCTCGCAAATCAAGGAACAGATTCGCAACAAAGGACGGCATGCTAGTCGTAAGCGATCTTTGTGGCATGGAGACAATCTTCGGGAAATGCTGCGACTTCTCGCTGCTGCCGGTGCCACCCCGCATCAACACAAGATCCCTGCTGCCTGTTCGTTCCTTGCGATGCTCATCCGCTGGCCATGCCTGAACTGCACTGTAGTCTTGTCCCAAAAATCGCAGCAGCTGAGCCGAGAGGGATCAGATTTCTGAGAACGATGCGATGGGAGGTGGCTGCAGGGCTCCTGAGAACGATCCGACTTCGTCTTATGGTCACCCCTTCTGCATAGCCATCGTAGCCTGCAGGCCATGGCTTCCATGCTTCCAAGGCAGCATAGACCTGCCCAGATTCTGCCCAGCTTAGTGCCATTTCTTGGCTTTTGCATCTGCAGCCGGAGCCTGGTCGTTCTCTTCGAGATCGCCGGACTTACGGGGAACCACATGTAGGTGAACCTGAGCCCTTAGCTGTCTGAGGATTTCACGAGGCAGCTTCAACTGTGGCACTTCGAGGCTCAAGCACAGGTTGACCAGAAAACCAGCCATCGAAGACGGCCCAATTGCTTGCCTCGGGCCACCAACCACTCTAAGGGCCACCCATGCCACCCAACTCAGCAGCAACACTCGTAGCATCTCGTAGCCCGGATCTATTTCCCACAGAATGGAGTGCAAGAGGTCAGAGATTCGCCATTGAGGCGTGGAGGTTCGACGCAGGTCGGATTTTGGCACAGGATGGTGCTGGTCAAAGCTGCCCTTCCATACCCACAAAACCACCGCAACCCGACAACCCACCTGGGTTATGACGTTATGGATCAAGATGGATAAAGAAAAATAGTTGTTTCAGACGGCAGCGCTTTCAGGCTTGGGCTGTTGTGGCGAGTTCTCGCTCCAAGTGCACCTTCCGAAACTTCAATGCCATGTCATACCATATCCAACCGTGTGCGGATCAGACCTGGGCTCTCAAAGCGGTTCTCCAGAGATCAAGCCTCCAGGACTTGCAGGACACATACAGTGCCGGTTTGCTTCGACCGAGTGCCGCGCATGGCGTCTTCCGAAAGCTGGCTGAGCCCTTGTCACAGACTCTCGCCGTTGATCGCGCAATGCCGCCCAGGTTCCGCGTCTTTTAGCCCCTCACGGCAAGCGAGCGACTTCGCAAGGAGGACCGTGTGGCCTGGCCTTAGAGCGCTGCATCGGATTGCGACAAAATTGCACAACGGAGCACTGCAGCAAACTGCAGCAAACTGCAGCTTGCGCACAGTACAGGCTGTAGACCGCAAACGGCCACCTGCGATGGAACATGCAATCAGATGTCGGGTGGAAACACCGGAAACACCTCCTGGAAAGCCTGGCAAGGTGGCTCTTTCTTTACCGCCGAGCAACAGTATCCGTGGATTCCAGAAGCACTGAGCTGGCCTCTTCCCTGGCATTCGAAAGACCCCGGCCCCAAACATTTCTGGGCGGCAACATCTCCGAGCCCCGAAACTTCGCCAGCCTCGCCGTAGCCGGGTCGGAAGAGCCGCTTCATCGGAACCTCGAGCCGCTGTGGGTAAAGAACCAAGTGCAAGATTCTCCTCTCATACCCGCACTGTAAACGATATTCTGCCTTTAGCTGTGTCATGGAGTGCCTGATCCGACCTCCCTTTCATTTTCGGCGGTGCTTTGCGAGTCGACACGTCAATCCAGAACGGTCACTGGGGCAGGAGACTCGGAATCCACCTGGGAGGCGCTTACACATCGTGCTAGCTTCATGCGAAAGCGATCAAGGGGATCCAGTCATGTCATCAGCAAGGGGCAAGACTCCATGGTAGAAACACTGCCCCTTGCGGCCAGTTCACAGTCGAGCCTCCTGGCTCGATAAAGTAGAAGGTTGTTCTACTACTGCGATGCTCGGAGGAGATCCAGCCGATGACTCTTTCTGCAGAGTGCACCGGAGTGGGCAATGATCGCTTCCTTGGCACGCAGCAGTAGTTTGAATTTATCGTGTAATATGCGGTTCGCAGCTAGCAGGACCGTTGGCAATCTGGCTGAGAGTGGAACATAGTGGGAACACTGGCCTGCTATGCCACAACTTTTTCTCACTCCCTGCTGACTGCCGATAAAACACCGCCCCAGGACAGGTCTGTTGAGCGTTGGGGCCTCTTCGAACCTTGTGGGCAAGAGGACACCCTCGAGAGAATGGCATCGGGATTGTGCCCGTCTTCAGGCTAAGCTAGGCTCCACATGACCGACGATAGTCAAACTGTACTGTTACCATGCGTGATGCATCCATAAAACGCGTGCAACCGATCGGGTTTGCTGGATCTGCAAGCTGTCTCCCCCAGCTCTGCACTTGAAAGAGGATCCGTAAGTAGGCTTGGGAGACACTGGTGCACCAGCAAGCCCGCTTCTCGAGTGTTCGGGGTGAGACTTAAAGGATCTTGCAGACGAGTCTTCTCGGAATCCCGTTCCAGACCAATAAGTCTGGAGCTGGCTCGGGCAAGAGAAGACGCAAAGCTCTTGAGACTTAAAACGGCTCAGTGACATGATGCAAGTCTGCAGGAGCACAGATTGCCTGAAAATGATGCCAATTCCGCTAGATATTGTGTGTGTGTGCGCGCCTGTCCACAAATTTACGACGTCTCTCATGCGACTGCGAAATCATGTCGCGAGCAGTCCAAGTGCGTATACGAAACGGGCGTGGCCTGGCCTCATCAACCAACCAAGCCCAAGCTGACTTGGATGAAATGTCGAAGTCTCCTGGCTCAAGCGTTTTTCTGCCCTGAATTGCGGGGCAGCCCGGCGAAGTTGCTGGAGGCGTTAAGCCTGTTAAGCTGCTGCTCTTGAGCTGGCACCCGGGTTGGATGCAGTGGTCTCGCTGACGGCAGCTGTCTCAGTAATGGCGCTGGCCATCCCGGTCGGAGCCGCCACAGGGGTGTCCCTGTTTGCAGGTGTCTGTGCAACAAGTCTCTGTTGGCTGCCATCAGGTCCCTGCAGAAGTGTGCGATCCATCAGCTCTCCACGCAGGCTGGGAACCTCAAGCCCCAACGCCTCAAACAATCGTAGCTCCTCGCTGCGTTCCATGGGCAAAGATTCCACGGCTAAACTGCCCCTTGCAGGCCGAAGACAGCTGCAGACGATCATCGTGGGAAGAGCTTACCGCAAAGCTTCTAGATTGCAGTCTACCGGGAGGTGTGCGTAAGTTCGCCATGGGTAAGTCAGTTCGTTCATTCTTCCTCCGAGGCTCCGAGGAAGCCGTTCCTGTCCGCGCCCTGGCCTAGAATGTCACACGCCTCCAAGCGGGCCAACATCTCCTAGCAATCAGCACAGAACAATGGAGAGGGGAGCGGGAAGGGGAGGGAGGGAAGGAGCGAGGGAGGGAGGGAAGCTTGTCTGACTGTCCTCCGCCACGAGTGCATAGTCGATGCGCATGCCTGGTTCCCGGCTTTGCAACCCACACGCCTGCACTAGGTCACTCTCTTGCCGACCAAGGATCCTTTCCCATGATATTTCGCCACAGTCTGCCATTCAGCTAGCACGAGTCTTGAGTAACGCTCATGCGCTCATGCCCCGGGAACATCCCAACAACCTGATGAACAGGAGGATGCCCTCGCCAAGTGAAATAGGGCCCGGCCCTCGGAAACGTGGCGTTTGAATAAGAAATGTGCCCATCGGAGAGAAGCCAGCTCAGCGCACGACGCTGGTGGTACATCATCACTAGGGTGCAGCCGCCTTCCCAAAACACCCAACTCCATCAGGCCTCATCTCATGGCAGTCTGGTCAGCTGAGCCGTGCCTGTAAGCATCCACCAGTCTTCCCGTCACGAGAAGTTCTTTGAAGCGTCGCCGCTCACCTGTGCGCTTTGCAGAGCCAGTATCCTATGTCGCTTGTTTCTAGCCTTGCAATCCTCGAGATCGGGGCCAGAGGTGTCTCGAGAGGATCCGATTATCCAAGTGAGCGAACCAAGATCGGCCAATGCAACGAGCCCTGTCAGCTAAACTCAAAACAGGCCTTCAGTGAAGCCAGGCTGGCCCCGCATGTCTGCTGGTTCACCCTGAGGCAGAACAAAGGCTGAGCAGCTTGAAACCAGCCCCCAACCCTGTGCACCATGCACAATTCCAGTAGATTGCAGGCTGCCGAAGCACTGCACTGGTCCTGGTAGCACTGCTGTGCGAACCAATCCGGATGCGTGACATCCTCGCATCAATTGTCAGGGAAACTCACATGCATGTGTGGAAACTCAGTCATGTTTGAAGGATTCTAGCCTTTTTACTTAGATTTTGTCTACGCAGCTCTTTTGTGCTGTTCTTTCCAATCTGGCCGAGGCTCGATGCGCTCCGCCGCAACATTCAGATCACCAATCCAAAGAAGCGGCCGATTCCGCTGCACTACGGCCTGTCAACAACTCTTCTTGCAAACATCTGATAGAGCTCCACAATGGAGTTTCTTGTAGTGAATATGCGCAGGCAGGAAATCTTGTCACTATAAACGTATAGTTGCCGCTGCAACACAATCTAGGATCGGCTCCTCGTTCAATGCTTTGTCCCACGCAGCCCGTCTTGCGAAGGATTCCGGGTCACTGCCGTTGTTGGGAGAATATGTCCTAAGCTGTCGGATGCAGCCGTCCAATTTGCAAACCCGGCAGGCATGATCTGCCAGTCTTTCTGTTGGAGCACATTTGGAGGACAAGAACACTCCTGCTGCTGCTCGGCAAACTCCCCCAATCCGACTCGAGGTTGCCTAGTTCGATGACACCGACGAGACAATGCCGACTGATCCTCCCACACACACGCCTCGACCCCAACCAGCGGCGTCCTTGCGAAGACAAATGCTTCTCCTTACAACGATTGTCCAATGCTCCCCAGCGCCCATCCCGTACTGCCCCGCTTGTTTGCTGTGCGTACCACTGTGACCAGTGAAGCCGTTGTGCGATGGTTTTCTGTCGAGAAGCAAGATCGAGAACTGTTGTATGCCTTCCTTCTCTAGAGGGCTTCTGCCGTCTCTTTCCCGTGCGAAGTTCTCGTTGTCGCTTCCCTGGCACTTTATGACACGGCCACGCAGAACCGACATGGTCCACAAGGTGTTGTACAATACGCTAGCAACGGAGAGTAGAAGACGAGCAATGGCTAGAAATTCAGGTTCACAGCTCGAACGAAACTGTACAAAGAAGCTCCTTCCCCTTGTGCTTCAAGCGCGGCGTGTTTCAGCAGCGAGAGCTGTGATGCTCCAGCATCTGCCAAAATGTATCCGCCTCCAGCCTGTCATGTAGCTCGAGCACCCTTCATGTCCAGTGATGAGCCTTTCTCTTCGGTGGCTGCTGGACTGGACGACGGCAAGTTCGAGCTCAAGCTGAGCTCGATCTGTGGGCTTGCTTAGTGATCAGCGTGACATTGAGGAGGCCCCACTCAGGATTGGACACTGACTGTGCCTCCGACCACCCCACACCGTCACGACTGACACCCGAAACGCGCGTCGCAAGTTCTCCTTTCACCAAATGCCTGGATGGAGCGCAGGGATCGAGTTGGCAGAATGCCCTCTGTGAGAGAACAAGCCCTCGGAATCTTGCCCTCGATCGCTCAGCGAGGAACTGAGGTGACGGCGCAAGCAGGTCAAACGTTGCAAAACTAGCCTCGACATCGAAGCAGCTTTGTGCACAAAGTACATCACAGGTCATCACAGCACAGCCAGGACCATGGGCGAATAACTCGCTGATCCTAAGGAGGAGACGCAGATGATTCGTCCCTGCAACACTTGCTGTGGCTAGTCATGGAATGCCAAGGGCAATGATGACAAGATGCAGCTGCCAACCTCCGGATGCCATTTACGATTCGCTGGGTCGAAGTGAGCCGCATGATCCATGCCGAACGTAGAGCACGTGTAGGTGATGCACGAAGGCCGAAGACTTCTCCTGATCATCATCAAAGTGCCTGCGCTCGAACGAGGCTTTCGTCACAGGCAAGCAGCCAGCCAGGCAGGCAACCACACAAGCAGAGCGAGAGAGAAAGACGGAAGGACGGGGAGACGAAGACAGAGCATGACAGAGCAGAAGCCGAGCTCCTGCGTACTTCCAGTCAGCCAGAGACCAGTGAAAGCTGTACATCTTTGCAAATGTGGCAACGAGCGTCCGCTGAACTAGGTCCCAGTCTGCCTTCGGGCGACATCCATCACTTGCACGTCTTCCATGAATCACTCCGCTGCGCCTTCTCCTGGGCCGAGTCGTACTTCGCCTTCCACGCATCGTCTTTACATGTCAGATGTTCGTGGAGTGCTGTCCAGGTGCCGATGCAGCAACAACGAGCCAGCACTGTCTCGTGGGCCTCACCCCGGCTCCGCTTCTGGCCGTCACCGCGCTTGCAGCCTGCAGGCTCAAACAGAGGGTGGCAAGTCTTGTCAAAATAGCTGAATTTTTTTGTCTAGTCCAGTCATGTTCACTCTACGGGCTTTATTCTGCGCTCGCCATGTCGATGAAACAGTCTGGATCTTTGGCCTTTCGGACCGGCCGCTGGAAGCCGTACTTCTTGAAGACAAAGTACGTCCTGAGCAAAAGCCAAGCACAAGGTTGGCAAAACATACCCAGGCAGCGTTGCTGGGCTAGTGGCCGGATCTTCGTTCTCCAGAAATTGCTTGATGAGGCTCCTCGCAGGGCAGAGCGCCCCCAACACTTTCCCCGTGAACACTGAACACGCTCGGTCACCAGTTGTTTCGCAGCTGGACGGCCAGCCCGTTGGCATTCCTGAACACAAACAGAATCGACCACAAGGGTGGTAAGGCCCCTTCAGGGCGAAGCTAGCAGCCGAAGTCTGCCAGGAGGCGTGGGTCTTGAGTGGGTCTAAGACGCAAACGTCGGAAAAAAAAGTCAGTCAAGTCGCTAAGTTTGAAGCTGGGTTGAGAAAAGGAAGGGAGAAAGGCCCGCGCACTGCAGCAGCTTTCGAAGATTGGGGGTGCATGGAGGGACGCAATGTGGTGAACGGAGACCCCGACTAACATAGCATACAACAACAGATTGAACTCTGCTATCATTCAATCTCGCCTTCAGGATTTTTCAGGAGCTCCAAGCCAGCGAAACCGAGCTACTTTCCAGCACAACAGGGCAATTCTGCACAGACAGGCTCTGTCGGAAATTCGACAACTTGAAACGAAGCCAACCACAGCAACACTGTTGAATTGGAAGTCAAGTGCCAAGCCGCCAGGAGATGATCTTCTGAGGGTCGCCAAAGGCCTCCGCCCCCGGTGCAGGATCATCTTGGGCACCTGCACTCCAGAAGCACACAGGACGCAAAGAGAAAAGACATGACACTTATGTTTCTGAGGGCAGTGCTGTTCGTCCGCTGTCTCTTGGGACTGGCCTTGGCTTACAGTGCTTCCATCAGATGATCTGCCATCGTTGCACGTCTCGCTTGTGTGATATCGGGCGCTGACCATTTTCACTGTCAGTGTCAAACCCCTCTTCATGTAGCAATTGGTTGTGAGGTTGCTTTCTGTCTCTCAGCTCAAAGCATGGGCATGCTCAGTGTTTTTTCAACACCATAATCCTTACATCTAACTGTACCCTAGCGGCCCTAGCGATCAAAGCATGCCAATGTTCGTCCTTTCTTTTGATGGGTGTTGCTACTACGAGTGTCAATGTGCTGGTGTCGCTGCTGCTGACACTGCTCGTGCTCCCAACCTTGGTGGGTACAGTAGTTGGTTTTGGGGCACTTGCTTACAGACTGGCGCAGCAGGTTGTAGTCAACACAGCCCAGCCTCCGCATCCTTGGACACACCTAGCAGCATCGAAGCATGACGTGCGCATAATCGGACCTCAATGCAGCCCGCCTGTTGCATCTGGCTTGGAGCGTCGCACGAGGAAGCGATCCATGGCACGCCATGAGAACCAGTGTGCAGCGTAGCTTGTGGTATAATGCTATGCTTGTTGCAAGCTGGAGGCTAACAGTCAAAGCAAGCAAACGACACAAAATATGCTGGATTACATCGTGTGCCAATTAATTCATTTGACTTTGAAGCCGATGTCTGCAGCTGGCATCCGACACATCGAATTTCATGCGCCACCCATGAAGCCCAAACTAGTATGAGGAGGGAGCGTGTCTCAATTGACGTCATGGCCCGTCGAGGTAGATGACCTACAGGATAGCTTGACATCATGTTCCGATGTGTTAGTCATCCAACAGGAAAGGGCGACAGCCGTGCCGGGTGCCTTTTCGACAGAGGCAGGCCAGGAAGGTCACGACAGGTAGTCCAAAAACGGAGCCCCGCGTCGTGTCTCTGTGTCGAGGAACAACCGGAGTCTGCCTGAAGGCTTCCAGCGGCTTTTGGAAGCTGTCCGCACACCTCACATCCCGGGGCCTGACGCCTGGCTGTGGAGTCCAACTCCTGCGGTTGGCCGAGTCTTCCCACCCACTGAATGCGGAGCCGGCACACGTGGCAGCCATAGACAGTTCTTGTGACCCATTGGTGCACGACATGCATCACATTCCAGAGCTTCAGGAGTTGTCGCGCTTGTGAATCAATGAAGCAGCTTCACCGCGCCTGATCAAATGCTGACCAGCGAGTAGGTAGGGGATCGCCCTCCTGAGGTGCACATGCCATTTTACGCCAACCTGCTTCTTTCCCTAGAGCCTGCGTGCCCAAAGGGTCATGCTGCGAGGCACAGCATACGAGCATATCAACTCGAACGTGTTCGTGAATTGCAATATTCCCCTCTCTGCACATCTTGAAACACGAAATGGGTCTCGTACCGCATCCGTCCACCGCAAAGGTTCTACCGCAGAGCGCTGCGCAAGGCTGGCCACCAGTCGAACTGGCTCACCGATGTTGCCCGAAGCACCCTCTGCGGGATGCGGGAGGATGTGAAGGGAGAAGACGCCGAAGGCCAGGCAGCCGGAGCAGAGCGACTGAGCCGGAGCAGGTTTGGATGTGTTTTGTAGTAGTTTTCGCCTCAGAGCAACCTGTTGTTCGAGCTGTAAAATCCTGATCAGGTCGATCGGGCGTCTCAACCAACACTTGCCCGAAGTTGGGCTGTTTCGGAGGGGCCAAAGCACGCACATCAAAGACGAAGACGTTGGATGCGGTCGGCAACGCGACCGAGGGCAGCCAGGCATTCGTGGCAGAAGTTTCTTCCAAGGGCGCGCATCCAGCAGCATTGTGCTGGCTGCTGGCGAGACCTGGAAACGAAGTCAGGGTCGGTGCTCCGACTGGAATCCTCAGTTTCCTTTTGTCCCATCGACTGTGATGTTGAGACTTTCAGTAGCTGACAAGTCTGCTGTCATGCAGGCATCCGTCCGAAGCTCTCCACCACCTTCCACAACGACGGAGTTGCCTGTGGTACGAGCGACTCCATAGTGCAACGAAGACTCGAGCAGAACTTATGGAGTCGGTTCAAACTTGACTGTGACCTCAAGAAACCAATTAAGTGGAAAGTGTCCAGGATGTCGAGAATTTGGAAGCAGAGGAATCACGGTGCACAAAAGGCAGTGAGACGCTCTTCCACGTAGTCCTCATCCACCGGCGTGCTTGGGCTCCCTCCGAGGGACCTTAGGCAGAGCTCTTGCACGAAGCTAAGGAGATGGACACACTGAGGAGCATGCAGCGCTGTGCGGCATTGGCAAACAGCGCACCCACCAGAGCCCAAAGCTTGCAATTACCGGCTACGGAGTCGAGCCCGAGCAGCATAAAGTCACGAGCACTCATGCTGAATGCAAATGCTTTTGCATAATGGGCTCATGCCACATTCCAGGTGAAACACTGGGAGTGAAACTGGCGTCGGCAACGGAAAGAGAGTTGCAAGCATTCCTACCTGATGGCTGCAGCTAGTCCCGATCCACCTCCAATCCTAGCGAATTGGGTCAGTCTTGGGACACTGTGTGCAGCTGTGATGCCTCAGCACATTAGATACAACTTGCAATGACGGCCGATACAACAAGATGTTGAACCCATGTCGGTGTGCCTGATACTTGTCTGGGTGGGACTCAGCGAAGTGATCGATCATGCGATCCACCTGTCAGTGCATACAACTAGTTTTCTCAGATGCTCGCTCGTAGTGAGCAGGCAAGCCAGGCAAGCAGCCTCTGCTTGGGTATCGTCGTCGCGACCCCGCATCTCTCGAAGAAAAACAATGACTGAGGCCTCAAGTCGTCCCTTGGACGCAGGACCGCCAGAAAGCCACTGGAAAATTGTGTCAACGGTGGCAAACAAAACAGGGTAGGATGCCTAGTTTGAGGTTCAGGCCTCCTCTACCCGCTCGGAACCATCATAGAGCATGCTGAGAGTCTCGACAGGCCAACAGATGCAGGATCAAGGCCCCATCTGGTCACTAGCACTCACTAGCACACATGCTTGCCTCTGCCATCATGTCCAGGGAATTTTCCCTTGTCTTCGCCGCGATCGTCTCAACACCACTTGCCTTTGATCTGATTCCAAAGGAGCCAATGGAAACCACACTCATTCTGCTACAATATGGAATATCGACAGCTGGGGCAGAAGCCCAGAACTTGCGGATGATTTGCGTGCTGAGCAAATGGAGCTGCGGATCCACCTTAGGTCACGAGTAATCAAGTACCGTGAAGCGAGAGCTCTCAAATCCTTACCGAGGTGCCAAAGCCGTGAAGACATACTTCTTTACCTTGCCGTGGGCGTACTGCATTCTTCTTGAATCTTGAACACAACATGACCGAAGATGGCAGATCATGCGATGCTAAGCCCGATGGCCTTCTCGAAAATGTTAAACCACTCGTCTGCTTCATCTTCGTCGAAGAAGAAGGGCAAGCTGGCCAACAGCACCTGCGCTTCATGAGCCAGTGTCGCATCTCAAATTCTGAGCTGTGCCACCTCGAGATGCTCTGTCTCCAGATGGTCGGGCGGGCTAGCCTCGAAACGACGCAGCTGTTGGCTGTTGACGCATGCACGGACTATCACACAGCAGCCTCTAGCTGCATAGTCAGCGTCTTGGCAATATCCAAGTGCGGCCAGATCTCTGGCAAGCATGTCTCCTGGCGCGCACGATAGTCGTTATTAGTTCGGACCGAAAAGCACGCGCTGCAATCACATAATCCTCGTAAGTGCACGTGAAGTTGCCATGCACGTAGGTGCGGCCGGCTTTGTCGTCGCCCTTGTCTAAGCTAGCATGGCGTCATCCAGGGGACAAGCCACACAAGAACTCCACGGTCCAACCTGCCTCGGCAGGCTCCTGCAAAAGCCGTTGCCGCAGAGCTGGTGTCTGCCCCAGAAGCACAGCTACCTTGAGGACGGTACCAAATTCGGACTTGCTCTTGCTTACACACACACACACAACACCGTATCCGGACACGAAGCGGGCAAGTGCAGCTTTGTAGATGGGCTTGGGGTCTGAACGCAGCACTGCAACACGCAAGCACCTACCTGCATGAATGCATATGCACAAAAAATCATGTCTTGTGCTGATTCTCCAAACTCTCCCAGTAAAAGCACGCACACACACACACACAGACGCTGAACCTAATCGTGAAACCTTACAATGTCAGACGTACCGGGCTCTCTAAATGAGTCTCCATGCTGGGATCCCCAACAGATAACGCCACTCTTGCAACGAAAACTTGAAAGGGACCCTAAGATTGAGAAAGCCTGCTTGCCAATAGAAACGATGAGTACTTGCAAAATTCTAAGTCCTCGTCTTTCAGGGACAGAAATCCGAACCCCTATGTAAAAAAAGACGTGGGTTCTTGGGTCCACTTCAAACTTTAATAATAGGAGGCTCTGAAAAGCGTAAGTTATCTTCCCTACTTAAGGAGTATCCCTACTTAAGGAGTATTGGGACGTAAGCTGAAAATTTAGGTTTGGCCTTTCTCAAAAGGGCTCCTAAGATGGATCCAGAATTCTCGGAAGTTCGATGCGGGCGCGTCTGAGTCAGGTTCCTGGGATGCTATGCGCTGATCTATTCTACTCTACCCATGCAATGCTATTCTATGCTATGCTCGACTCTGATTACTTCGCTCTACCCCACTCTAAACTAGTCTTCTCTACAGTTCACTATTCCACTCGACCACCCTACTGTATTTTATCTTATACTATACTACACTGTACTGTGCAATAGTTTACTGTTCTATACAAAAAGGACCCCAAACCCAAGAACCCTTAGCCCTAAACCGCAGAACCCTAAGCCCTAAACCAGGACCAAGAAGTGAAGAGCCCTAAACCCTAAACACAAGAACTCTACGCTTTAAACCCAAGAACCCTAAGCCATAACCCGAAGAATCCCAAGCCCTAACCCCAAAACCTTAAGCCCGGAAACCTATGTCCTAAACCCAAGAACCCTATGCCCTAAATCCAACAACCCTAAACCCCAAAAGCTTGAGCCCTGAGCCTGTAATCCTACTCTAGGTATGCTATGCTACGCTGCTTATGCTATGCTACAAACTGCTATGCTAGGCAGGCCAAGCCATGCTGTGCTCTACTCCATTCTACCTACTCTATGCTACACTACTCTACACTACACTCCTCTACTGTACTTTCCTTGACTGTAACAACCCCAAAAAACTTGATGAAACTGAGACCAAGAACCCCAAGCTCTAAACCCTAAAGTGAACCCTGAACCGAAGAACCCAAGGATAAGCCTCACATTATATGACATGAGCTTAGATTAACTCATAGTTCATTGTATATCATGTTACAACACACCATATACATACATATAGATATATAATATATATATATACACACACGCACGTAATTATGTATGCTCGGGCTCGCCCGCTGCGTTTAGTGAATCATTCATATGCAAGAGTACTGTACTGGTTGCATATGGTCTATCTATGCTGGTCCTCCACCCAGCAGAACAAGCAAGGAAGCAAACCCTAAAACACGTCAGCCGCCCATTCCAAAACAAACTCAGTTGAGAACAGATCCTGACCGTGAAAAGTACAGCAGGTCGAAACTTCCAACTAGTCTCTAAGTCGTATTAACTCTGTGTAGACTATGCTTATGTTTCACTTTGATTCGTAATTCGAGATTCCTCGCCAAGCTTACAGACAGTACCTCCAAGTCTTTGGCCCTGTGCCCTCATTGCATTATTTGCCGTCACCAGGTTTTCTGCCGTTCAAGTTAAGCGTCTGAATCATTGTGATGTGCACAGGTTGCGCAGGAAACAGATTGGGGGTCCATGGCCGAGTTCTGTTATGGAGTACACAGTAAAGAGGCGGTTCCACAGCCCAGTTTCTCCGAAGCCTTTCGACTGGTATTAGTCCGTCACCCTATGTGCAGCATTGTTCAGCATTCTGTGCATGGAACCGCGGTGCTTGCCTACATACCGCGAGCATCCCTTGTTGGGCTGCCTTGCCACACCTTGCCAACCTAGGACACCTACAACTGGGGCACCTGCAAACACTGGGAGCAGATTCGGATAGTCAGGCAGCACATGCACAAGAGCAGATAATCCAACCTGAGACACATGAAGAGGGTGTACCACAGGACCGTAACCTAGTACATTCACAAACACTGCTTTCAGCGGCCTGCAGCACGTTCTTGGAGTTGCTAACGACAAAAAGACGGCTGACGATGGACAGGATCTCCTCAATGACGGCGTCCACACTGGCCTGATGCATAGCTTTCTGGGCCTGCTCTGCAAAGTCAACGAAACCTGACCGGAGCACTGTGCTGCCTCTGCACCTTCTTCGAGTCTGCTAGCACCACCTTTCGGGCAGCAGGTCCAGGTGTGCATAGGTACAAGTCGCCACGCCCGCCCAGATCAGCTTTCTTGCTTTCAGCGGCCGGCTGGCGCTGCCATCATCTTCTGCTCCGACCACGGCTTGGCCCCCTGGGTGAGACGGCTCTGAGCTTCCAACGAAACTCCGAAACTCGCCGGTCCCTGAGGTCCATGCGCTCAGTGGAGAGCCTACCTAGAAGCTTAGCCGACAGTCGCAGCAGCTGGGCCTGGACCTCGCGCAGCTTCGCTTGGAACGGAACTGCTCGTGAAACATCTCCTGCCTCCCACCACTCATCATTGGCGAGGGCAGAAAAGTGCTGCAGCAGGGCCACGACCTCAGGAGTAAGTAAGACCAATGAGCAAGGTATCCGCCGGGCGCTGTCCGACAGACGAGCTCGGCTCGGGGCCGGCTGATGCTGTGAAGACCAGCCTGTGACGCTGCAGATGATCGCCAGGCCGGCCACCCGGACCCTGCGTCGGATCGTGAGTCAGCGCGACAGGACAGGGATCTCTACCAAAAGAGTCTCGACAGGACGGGAAGCCAGACCTGCCTGGGCTTGGGGCTTTGTATCGCCATTAAAGCCTCAACTGTGGCAGGAACCATGCCAGCTCAGGCAGCGAGAGTCCATGCTTGGAGCCCCTGCATAGTAGATGTACAAGTCCAGAAGATGTTCGTCCAGAAGACCAGCTTGACCATCTAGATTGATCAAGCTGGCCAAGCCTTGGCGGAACAAGCGATGGACATGCGCAGTTCAACACGAGAGGGATTCCTCTTGTACGCGCACATTTTGGCGAGCAAGCCTGCAAAACGCGCTTCCAGAGTCCGGGCAGACACCTCACGATCGCATTCCGCAGGTCGGATGCCGTATCGCTTTCGGTTTTTCGCAGAGCTAGCATACTAGACTACCGCTTAGTGCTTGTAGCTTCCCCCATTCGCTTGCCAGCTGAACTCTTACGGCTCGGACCACCTGCCGATGAAGCTGGGTTTCTTACTCTTGCTTTTGAGAACCAAAGCTTCGTCTTCCTCAAAACATCGCGGCGTTGGCATCGAGGCCAGCAGCCACCCGGCCCTTCTGCCGAGCTAACGCTTGGCATGGAGTACCAGAAGAAGCTCTCGGATACAACGACATGTCAAGCCAGGGGAGGGTGAAAGATGTTCAATTCGAGCTTGTACAACACAGAGCTCGTCGTGGTGCAGCCAGCGGAGCGTAGGTGGCAGCAGGGTGGGAGAGGATTGGAGAGCGTTCCACGAGTTCAGTTTCGAAGCGGATCCGACCTTGGGCAGTGACTTCCCGAAGGGACGAAATCGAGGCACATACATTTGCGATGGACCGCTGCCAATGCGACAGTGGCACGCACAGCCCTGCAGCATTCTGGCGTGCAAGCTTGCAGCAGAAGCATTTTACACCCCAACACCAGGACGAATCTACATAAAGACATACCAGGCGTACCAAGTCCAGTTTGTGGAAACACCAAACCGGTGGCTTCAGTCGACGCGTTGTCGGAGCCTCCCCCCCAAAGCGCCACTGTGACAACATTTTCTATCAAACGTCAAGCAGTCAGGATCTGACACGGCACATACACTGCCAGGTCGTCGCCCACCTGAACCATTACCAGCACAAGGCACAATGCTTTTAGACTTTAGAAGCTACTAGTCGTGCCCGCCTTCTCTTTCAGCGCACGCAACGTCAGGATGTGGTTTAGTGTGTCCTGACTCGTATGAGCTTGAACCTTCGATTCGAAAAGTGGTGCCTGCGATTGCAACAGGTGGTCCTCCTGGACGAAGGAGTAAACCACATCGCACAGCAGATCTCGCTTCTCAGGGGATCGTGCTAATTCCTGGCCGGGGTGCGCAGAACGGCCTGAGAGATTTATATTTATAGTCATGGTTTCCCAATATTTCCTGTTCATCTGGACCAACAACTATGGCAACTTGACTGCTTGATTCACAAGTCTGTGCTTGTGGTTTCACAGTTTTATGTCCAAAGCCACTGGCATCTATCTGACCAGCCTTGGCCAGTGAAGCTAGAGCAACATCCGTCATCATTTGCTGGGTCCTAGGTCAGTTCAACTTTGCCGAGCCAGTCAACGCCACCACAAGCACCCAGCTCGCTGCCGGAAACCATGTTTAGCGACAACTCGTGTACTCTGAGACCGCGGCAGCTGTGCATCTTGCTCGCGCATGAGTTCACCCAGCCTTCCAATCAGTAAAAACTTGGCACAGTCAGACACCAGGATCGGGCCGCCTCCTGAAAAAGTACAGCGCACTCTCGAAGATCGGGCTGGACCTGAACCATCCCATTCACAGCTGAAGGTTTCCAGGAAATCGCATCAGATGAAAACGAACGAACCATCAACACAGAAGTTCAGGCTGCGACTCTGAAAAATCCGCAAGCGCTGGGTAGAAGGTTGTCCAAACCTGCTGCTGCCATCACATCATGAGATGCAAAAACAGTGGTGCAGGGAAGTTGGAGACCTTCCAAAACTCTGGTGGTGACTTGGTCAATGAATCCACCTCGACAAAAACAAAGCTGCGAGGCAGAAAACGTCCTGCTCCTGCCGACGGCCCCGCCAGCAGTTCCGCACGTTTTGCGAGTGTCTCGAAGACTCGAACTGAGGTTTCCTGGTCAGCAGACATACTCTGAAGCAAGCCTGCGCCTGTTGCATCAAAGGCGCCTCAATCTCACGCATCCGCAGCTCCAATGGTGGAGCCGAAAGTCCATTCCTTACGAGGGCTGAGGCTGAGAAAAGATTTGGTTTAGACTGAACAGTCGTTTCTAGCATCTTCCATGGCCTCCAGCTGTGCATAGCTTGCATAAGGCCCACACATGTCGCGATGAAAATCTCGACCAGGGGCCTCCGCAGCATAAGTGTCCCCCACTTCCCGAAAAGCCGGCCCCCACAACGTTGTGGCGGGAGGCAGACAGGCAGGCAGACAGGTAGGTAATCTAGGAATCTAGGAGGTACACGGTAGACACAGGTAGGAAGGCAAGTAGTGGCGATCAGGCCAGATCTTCGCGACTTAATCTGCGAGAAGGCGGGCTCCATCAGCTGATTCCGCCCCAGAGGATCTTCACATACTTTCACCATCACCAGCATGCCGGTAGGGTGCCCGGGTATGGCAAAAGTGGAACACCGAAACTGTCCGGGAAACCTCACATGCTCCGAGTCGCCGAGCACTCAAGGCCGCAGAACCTGAGACCCTGGCATCTCTTACACCCTCTCTGCATTGCTCCATGAAGGCAACGACAATGTCCTGCACTGGCAGGACTGCAGGGACTGCAAGCGACAACCTGGGGAGGTCGATCCGTGAACAACCACTGGTCTTGCTGATCCTCCTTCTTGGTGTCGATCATCCTCGAGAACTCCTGGCTCACCACCAGACTGTCGTGCCCGCTTGCAACAGCACTGCGCAAAATGACAATAAATCCTCAGACTCTTGGATGATGGAGAAAACCAGCGGTCGCATGATCTCGGTAGCCTTAGCTGCATCAAGTTGTGACGTAGGCCGGCATGCGACATGTTACAGCTGAAGTATGGTAATCACGAAGTTGCTGAACTCTTCATGCTGCACACCACTATAGGTGCCAGGCTGGCTTGGCAATCGCCTGGTTCTGCCTGCAGAGCACAGGTGACATAGGGGACAACCGCGGCTGAGCCGCGCCGCGGGATGCGAGGGAGGCGGAGTTGAGTCGAGGACTGCAGGCCGGCCAGAGCCGCACAGCAGGCCTGAGGGCTGCTCACTGCCTGACAGCTTGGTCTCTACTGGCATTCTGCCTCCTCTTCTGACCTTTCTGGGCCCACCTTCAGCAGGGAGTTCCGGCTCGAGGTCGCAACGGGAGGTGGCGGCTCCTGATTCCTTGCCACGTAGCAGCACTCGATAGCCATGTGAAACTTTAAACAGGTTATGCGGACGAAGGAGAAGGGCCAGGATTTCACGATGTCTGTAAGAAGCAGCAACTCGAACCATAACCATGCCAGATAAACTTCTCATCGGTTTTTCGAAGCTGGGCACTTCCTGTCTGGAGTGCTTTCACCTGATACTGCACGGCATTGGTTGACTAAGCCAGGACAAACGCAGCAGGCGGGACCGCGTGCCTTCACCTCGTCAACCACAACAGAGTCCGTCTGTTCCCTGTCGTGGCTTTGATCCTCCTGTCGGACGGCGGAGGCTACCGGTAGGGAGGGAACACAGAAACCATCTTTGTCTGTGCGGCATAAAGCAAAAGCGAGAGCACATTTTTGAGCCGCACTTCACGCGACTGTCACAGGCCCATCATCTGAATTAGTAGTACCTCCACTTTGCAGGTGGACGGACGGCAAACAGCACGTTAAAGCTTCACGGATCAATGCTTCCGGAGCACGAATAAGACTTGCAGTGTGGAGTGGCACGATCTTGGCAGAACAGGCCAAAATCTCCCGGATACCTTGTGCAGTCTGTCCCCTTTTCTGACTTGGCTTGCAGGACAAGTGATCAAGGATAACTATAATCAGCAAGGCCGCCCACCAGGACAGCGACGAGGGAAGAGGACATCCTGCTGACGTTCACCAGCTCAAACCGAGATGCAGAAGCACAGACACTGCTACTCCCAACAAGTCGAAACTGCCACCGGCCAAAGCGTGAGCTTTCAACAGAAGATGAAAGTCAAACGGTCCTGATCTTCGAAGGCCTTGCGGTGCCCCAAGAAAACTTCTCGGAGCATGGTGGAGCACTGGTGCTCAAAACGACTGATACAGGTAAGTCGCCGGAAACATCGAGTCTGCTGGCAGCTCGGGACCTGTTTCAAGGCAGTCGAGATCCAGGGAGGCAGTTACATGTGTTGCGAATACCTCTCGGGACCCGACGTGCAAAACCTCGGCCGAGAAGCATCTTAGCTCCACCTGGAGACCTCGAATGCAAAGTACCGGTCAGGCAAGTGCACCATGGGTCGAATGCCAAGCCACACGAGGTAGGCGTGCGCGCAGGATGGATCGCACCTTGGCTCTCTTCTTAGAAGCACTCTTGGAGCGTTGAACAGCGTCGCTCTCCAGCAATAGAGGACAGAGGAAAAGTGTTCAAAATCCTTGCCACAGCAACCATCCGGCCATCACGAAGTCACGTTCTCTTGCAGACTGAAGCATCTCCTCAACGGATTCCCGAAGCAGAAGGCAGCCCATTCTGCCTCTCCGAAAAAAAACAAAACGAAGGGAAGTTGTCCTTGGCAGACTCTGCAGCTACATCGCCATTCAGCCTGGCATCGTCCTAGGCTGGAGGCCAGAAACAGTACATCCGAGAAGCCACAAGCGTGGTTGAGCACGACACTTCCAGGATGAGAGCTTCCGCATTTCCAGAGCTTATCTGCTTCAGGATGCCGCGGTGTGCGTACACCAAGGAACACCTCGGCTTCATAGGCGCACAAACAGCAAACACCTTTGCACCTTCTTGCCATCGACCTGAGAGCGGAAGGCATGGAACTGCAGAGTTGGAGCCCGACTACAAGTTGAGAATGATCTACCCCATGGACGCGAGAGTTGGTGAATGTTGAAGCGGCCTGACGGCAACTGCTGCCTCACTGACCTCCTGAAATTCCGAAGCTTTAAGTTTCTGTGATTCAGACTTCAGGGTGTAGGATTGAGGATTCTTAGAGTACGTTTGACGTAGGGTTGGGCTCAAAAAGGCGTTTCCGGGCTTGAGAGGCTTGTGGATCAGCTTTCCAGCCCGACGCCTCCAACATTCTCCAATCACGAAACTCATGACATTTCCCCCGGTGCAGCGCAATTCTCCCGACAGTCGTCTTTTCTGGAGTGTTGAATGAGAGGACCACCCTTCCGCAAACACGTGATCTCATTGCTTCTGGAGCTACTCGCCACGACAACGGCACTGTGTCCGAAGCCGCCACCTTCTCCACTCATGACTTCAAAGCTCTCGGTGGAGCCCAAGCTCGTTACAATTCTCGCTCAGTGGTGGTCGTGAATCTGGCGATTCTGCGAGTTGTACTTAGCCTGAAAGGTTTCGACAGTTCAGTCTGTACGGTTGGTGGTCGTGGGACGTGCACACTTTCTAGGTAGGGTCTTGGGGTTTGCGGTTTGTCTTGTTCTGCCTTGCTGCTGGGTATCAGGGTTAACGGGTTCACGCTTTCAGCGGTCTTGGTTCGACTTTGACCCCCCTCAAGTACATCATCAGCAACTCTTGATGCGGCATCTTGTTCATTCGAGGCGCTCAAAAGATCGCAGAGGCGTGCTGTCGACGCAATTCAAGACTTCTTCACTGCCTAGCTTCGGAGGCATCACACGCTCACAATCCTTAGGTCGTGCGCAACTTCAGATTAGAGAGGCTGTCCAATCTCGCTTTGCTAGAAATCCGTAGGGTGTAGCAAACCGACTACCCATCAAAACCGTTCAGCTCAGCCGAGCAGCCAAATCTAACTGGACACACGTACTCTCCAGACCGCTTCTGCGCGCATCATCCAAGTCCGTGTTGATGTAGTACGCCTGAGCGCGACTGCTACAATGCCAGAATTCTGCAAGCTGCGGTGATTCGGCCGCCTTCAGCTTCTGGCGCCCTTCACCGAAGGCTGTTTCACTCCTGCGCAGATCTTAATTCAATAAGCTAAGACTTCCGTCGCTCGGTCTCTCTGCGAAAGCAAGGTGTCCGTAAGAGAAAAGTCGATAGGGAATTACCATCTATGCACCGGTGGTTTCCTTACAACTCTTGCAAATCAAGGGCTCATCTAGCTGTCCTGACAACATGGCGAGGCAGTCTTACATAACATACCTGCGAGAACCTTCGCAAGCCATCTGTCCCTCGCAACGTGGGCGCCCACACATCGCGTGCCGTGTAACTCAGGATCGAGCTCACTGTGCTGCCTAAGCCGTCGCTCATTTGCTCCATCGTCCGCACTGGCATATCCCAGGAACACAAATGACACAGGTGGAACCGAGGCGCCTGTGAGCACGCTGGCTTTCCAGACTGCAGGCTGCCCCCACTCTCGCCGCATCCCTGCTGTTGGAGCACAGGCCATGTATGGCCACATGAAAAGTGAGTGGTAGAAGATCCGAGTAACTGCGGGACGGTCAAAAGCAGGCACAGCGGTGAGGAAAATGGATGGTCCATGTCTGCAAGGAGGCGAGATGGCGCAACACCGATTCACCTCCCTCATGAAGCCTCGCCCATGCCCACACGCACCTGTCTGCCGATGTTTGCGAGATCTTGCGAACGGCAGAACAGACAAGGAACAAGATAGGAACAGGCGTGAATTCTGAAAGGGCATGCTGCAGCAGCAAACATTGCAGTTCATCCCAGGCTCAAACACGGTCGGGGTAGGTATCGAGAAGACGAGCTACGAACAGCAAAGGCGTGTTCAGAAAACCTGGTCCAGCCTGTAAGAGAGGTGAAGCACAGCTCCCACCTGGAGGCAGTTGAGATCCGATCACATGTTGCTAGCTTCCGGTAGCACATACATACAGGTTCCAGGTCTGTCTACCTGAAAAACTTGCAGCCTGCAAAGCGAGATTGAAGATGTGCATCTAGATCATCTGAGGCCGAAGCCCAGAGAATAGGAGAAGTGCTGCAAGAAGCAGCTTCGTCAGCTTTGCACGTCGGCGCAGCTCCATAGCCAAGGACAGACATGCGCACTACTTACGTGGGGGTTGTGTACACTGCACATCGGCGGGAGCTCTTTTCCTTCTGTGCTAGTAGACTCGCTCTTCGCACAAGTCAGCTTTGACTCGTGGCCGTCTTGGACAAACACAGACGTGCAGAAGGACGCGCGGAAAGGCAAGTGGGACATCTCGCCTGTGACAGACCCATCCGCAGTCTTCGTTCTTGTCTGATCAGCGCCGGAGCCTCGGAAGCATAGCAGCGACTGAAGCTCTCAGCCCGTCACAAGGAAAGGAGCACCTCCGTGGCTTTAATCGCTCGCCGCTCCTTGCACCGTTCAAACTCAAGCACATCTGCCATGCCATGTGTGAGATCTGAAATCCTGGTGGAAAACACCGAGCGTGTCAATGGCGATGATGGTTCTTTCCACCTGTGCATGAATCTGGTCCCAGCTGATACAAGCACGGCAATGATGGATGAGAGCTGAGTTCTGCACGTTGTCCTGGATCCGGGATATCTCTGGATCCTTCAGACGCTTGGAAGCTGTGTCCTGCCAAGGTCCACAGGTACAAGAAAGGTAGACACAAAGTTAGCAGATTGACATGAAACGAATGGAAATATGAAAGTTATAAAAAGAACCCAGTCCCGCATAAAGGACGGCAGCTCATGCTGGTTGTTCACCAGCTCCTCCCACATCAAGCAGAAAAACGGGACTGCACGGCTCCCAAGAAGTCCAGACCTGGATGGGAGCGTGCGCCTGCACCTGGTGGAAAAGTCGTTGGAGCATTCTGCATGGTCGTCGGCACCGAGGTGCACCCCGGCAAATCCCTTTTTCATGCGACGAAGCACGAGTGTTTCTATGAATCTTCGTCCATCATCAAAAGTTCCTGCATGTCGTTGTGGATCGACTTACGGGTGGAATGGCATCTCGGGTTTCAGGACACCACGCAAGTGCCAGCAGTTTGTCGCTGCACGGGCGGATGGGCAGGGTGATCTTGGCGAGATCTACCTCTGCTCAAGCACACCATTGCGAGCTCTGCATAAAAATTGCGATTTGACCAAAGACCCTCCGGATCTTCAAAGCCCGGAAATGTGTCGGAAGACTCGTCACGAACTGGCAAATGCGAGAGCAAGTTGACATCGAAGTAGAGGCGCCTCCCCTCGATGCGAAGGAACTCCACCGATCCGCAATCGGCCTGCGCAACCTCGGAAAGGATCCGGACTGCCTCCGTGGCCTCCTCCTCCGTCGGAGTGTAGGCGCAGAAACGGAGCGGGGACGAAGAGGTCTTGTTGGCTGAGCAGGCACATGTCGAAGTGACAGTGGCTCCGGGTCCGGACTCGTCCCGTGGCACAACTTTGATGGCGCACTGGAACTTTCCGTCCAGGACGAAAACCCGAAAGTACTGTCCAAGGTCTGGAGCACAGAACTTTTGCAGGAATCCCGTGTAGTCGTTTCCTAACGGGCTGACCTCAAACGAAGGTGAATTCGCGAAGGACTGGACCTGGCTGGCGAAGGCCTCCAGTTCAGCCTCATCCTTCATCGTCACCACACCTTTCGCATAAGCTGCGGCGCAGGGCTTGTACAGCAAGGGGAATTTGTCTTGTGGCTGCTTCAGGACGGAGAGAGCATGGCTGCTGTTTGCTGTGCGGCCCAGGCCATTGACAAAAGTGGACTCTGGCATTTCCACACCCGCGAGCTGCAACACTGCGTGGTGCCCGGACTTACTCATCAGCAGGGAATATGCCGAGCTAGGATTGATGATTGGTACCCCACGGAGCTCCAGCTGCCTCATGATGACGAGTGCCATCTTGGCTATGGCAGGCTCAGAGGCATCAGAAACTCGGTTGACTGCTATGTTCCAGGGTGATTGCTCCAATGTATCGAAATGGCTTTGTGACCAGTGCTCAATTGCGACAATGTCGACCTCGACTTTCGCAGAATTGCGCTTCTCGAGTTCTGCCTTCAGGTGTAGGAGCCAGGCTCCTTGCAAATGTCGCTCGGGACTGAGCAATAAGGCCCTCATTGCGATGGGGGTTATCTAGGATACTACGACTGCACACCTTCAACATTACGACTGCTGCGCTAACAACAACCGACGACTGCAGGACAAGCTCCGGAGCACAAGTGGTTCCCACAAAAACTGATAGGATCATCGCTCCTTGAGAGGAAGTGGCGCTATGTCATGAGCGATATTGACCTCTCTTGCCGTAAAGAATGCCTGACCCCTGCAGCTGCAACTACAGCGATCAATTGACTGAGAACCACACCACGCACTTGGTAAGGAACGTGTAGATCTTGTACATGAGCATGACAGCTGCACCTGTCATTGACATGACTCAACTGCGACGAAACCGCACGAGACGAAGCGAGCAAGCTGTGCAAGAAGCAGCTGCAGTGAACAATGACTGTACGTTTCGGCTGAAGCACACGCATGCTGGAGCCAGGATGGCTTCTTAAGCAAGCCAGGCTGCACCCGGTGCACAATGTATCACTGGATCAAACCTCGAACATTGCAGCAGCTCGTCAATCTGACCAACAGCTACTTACAGAATATGGTGAGGCCGCAACTCTGCTTTGGATATGCCTAGTTAAAGACAAGCATCTGGACAGCGCAGCATTTCCAACTAATACCTTACACTGTGTGCCTATGCCCTTCCTTTTGAAGAACTTGTACAACTGCTCCCAATTGTCGACCTGCTGAAAATCGCAGGGCAGAAGCCTGAACTTCCAAGAACCTCGACAACGGGCAATCGCAAAAGGGCTGGACCCCTCCCCACCTTTGCTTCCAACCTGGAGCCATTTTCGTACGTGTTCATGTCCACATCCTTTGCAAGACCATGCTACCATGAAGATCGCCGGAAACAGACAGTAGGGTGGTGGGCCGGAGCAGCTGGACAAGACTGAGTCGGACCACATGCCATGGACTTCGCAAGGAAACACGCAAAATCGCAAGATTCCCCGCAGTGTCCTGAGGATGATAGCGGGACAAGATTTCCGCCACAATGTAACCTGGCCGAAGATAGTCCGTCGATACCACTACTCCAAGCCAAGTGAAAGAAGCTGCGACGGGCCACCGTTGCTCAGATCCCGTTTTGGGTTCTTGATGCCTGCACCGGAACCAGACATCAGCACACAAGTTGCGGGAACCGAAATTGAAGTCTCTGGCTGAAAACACATGCTGCCAAGGACGTTGCTGAACGAAAGATCCAAACTTTGAAGCCATTTTATTATCTCGCGAGGTAGAGGCGCGCACCTCAGCAACAGCAGACAAGACACCTGACTGCGCTTTTTCTTACGTACTGCAGCTGAGATGGGGCTTGGACGCCATTGCAAATGCTGTCGGAGTCTCTATGAATACCGAGTCCGACCAAAGACCAAGACTGAAGCCTATGCTGAGATGATCATCTTGGCCACAGCCTTAAACAATCTCAAACCCGGTATAGGCCTGCAGCTTCGCTTCTTCAAGCACGTCCTTCCTATCGGTATCTGTTTAATCTATTCGAATATATTCACCCTTCGCGTGCCCTGAGTGAAACCTGTCCACAAAGCTTTGATATGAGCCGGGCATACATAACAAGCGGACATGGTTCTCTAACAGACTGTGACGCTCATTCATCTCCCAGTGGGATGACGATCTTCTTCCGGACTGCACCCTGCAAAAAGATACAAAAAGCATGAGAAGCCTTCTTTTCAGTTCTGCTTTCGAAACTTTCTCTTGTATCCAATTGGCGAATCAACCGACACCCTGGGAGGATTCTACACATGAAAACTGGTCCGCGATAGCCAGACTGGCAGACAATCCACTGCCACTCCTTGCGACTATAGCAGACTCTAGCACAATCGACGGAGACACTACAGCTTCGATGGGCCGGAAACATCTGCCGTTGCGTCACACCGCGAAAGCCCATCGACGTCGGGCAATGACGTCAGTGACGTCATCAACTTATGCATGCTGATAAGCGAGGCATCTGTCAGCATTCCACAATGGTCCTGAAAGACCGTAAAGGTTCGAAGAAGATCAACCAGCGACCTCGTCGATCCCAGATACTGCTTTAAAACACGGCTTGCATGTTGCGAACCCTGCGCCAGCCAGGCGAGAAGAAGCCCACCAATGGCAAAGTTGATTTGAACTTCGGCATGTTCCTCACTGGTAAATGAACCGAAAAAGAAGGTGGCGAAGGCCCGTGCCAAACAGGCTGCGAAGCTGCAACATGTTTCGTCACTGTCTCCGAGATGCTCTTCCAGCTCAGCTCCAAGCCCTCGACATAACTGGCGACAATAGGAGCTCTCCACATGAAACCTGCTGAGTGCCTCGCATAGCTGGCAACTGGTCGAAGAAGCGGCAGCAAGAGTGCCAACAATCAATCGGATTGCAGCCCCCGTACTTTTTCCAATCAAGCTTACAAGAAGGAATAGAAGGGAGTCTTGATCGGAGCAAAGAGTGCTTCTCAACACATCTGCGAATTGTGGTTCCGAGCCCAACACGTGGAGGGCCTTCAGAACCATGTTTTTTAGATGTGACGGGCCGTCATCGCTGGACACCATGCAATGATGCAATATGGGGCAAGCAGCCTTCACAAGTTCTTCGCAGTGCTGCGGACCACAGGGGCTCAATCGCAAACAACGGCCGCAAGTTTCCCACAGCAGGGCGAGACGTTCAACTCCGGCATGGTGAGAGTCAGCTGTCCATGCACTGGTGGCGGTCTTAAGGCACCCAACCAACCGTCTGCGAGTCATGCCCAGCAAGGCGCCGCGTGGTGACGGCGATGAAAGGCTGGAAAGCAACCTGATGCACCCACGAGCAGTGGGAGGAATGAGACCTCTACTTTGTAAACCTGCCTGCGAAGCACCAACAAGGAGACATCGCCCACAGCAACGGTCGCAGAACCGCCTGCTCTGCAACGCCCCCCCCCCCCNNTCCCCCCCCCCCCCCCGCATCAACTGTTGTCTGCGAGCACTAAATCGCCATGCAATCTCAATCTACTAGGATCCGAAGGTGTGCTTCGGGCTTCTGACCGACGGAGCCTTCAAGAC